AAGAAATATTTCTGTTTTTTTTTTATTCATAGATTTATGGATGGATATTTGGAAAAAAATTTACAGCTGTTAAAAAAACATGTGTTGGTGTTAAGCAAGGTGAATGCTTTGGTTTATTAGGTATAAATGGTTCAGGAAAATCGACAACATTTAAAATGTTAACTGGAGAAATTTCAATGACCGATGGTGATGCATTGGTTAATAATTATAGTGTTATTAAACAATTAAGTGCAATTCATCGAAATATAGGGTATAGAAACAAAGAACAAGAAGAATGTTTTTTTTTCTATCTAATAGAATCTATTTTTTAGTTATTGTCCACAGTTTGATGCACTAGATTCTTTATTAACAGCACGCGAACATCTTTATCTTTATGCTCGTTTACGTGGCATTAAAAGAAAAAATATTGCATTTGTAAGTTTGCTTTTTTATCATACTCGCTTAGACGTACTCATAGCAGAAGTTTATCAATGATTATTAAACTTTTGAGCAGTATTCATATAGGAATTAAGATTAATATTTTATTTATATGGCTAAGCTAGCATAATCTCTGACAAATATACATGTACCTACAGATAACTTCCTATTCAAGCGATTTAATTGATTCTTTTATGTATGTTTAAGTATAGAAGTAGAAATTTGCACTCGTTACACTTTCCATAGACCGTGATGGATATCTTGCAATTCATCATTGGTCGTCACAAACGTTGTTCATATACGATCAATGACCGTATATAAGTAAAAACTCCATTCTATGGTCAATAATGCACCTCATATGATTTTAATGAACGGTATTCAGTCATAATTCGGTGCACTGTCAGTCGTGAAATGGATCAGATTACTGTAACAGCTCGAACCTTTGATTGTGATTCAATTTCATAAACATGATAAACTTTGTTGACTTTTTACTGTGTAGGTTTCGATGATCTTCTTCTGTCTGTATGAGTTTCACATAAGGGTTCAAATATAATTTTGATGCAATCTTCACTTGGTATGTTTTTGCAAATGTATATTAGCACAAATATGTGTCTGATAATAAACAGAAAAAAAAATTTAAAAAGCATACTAATATTTTATCGAAAAAAGTCAATTAAATTGCTTGAGTTATGTAAAAGAAAGTTATGTTAATCTTCTCCCAACAGACGTTTGACACGCCCTATACATTAAGCAATTGAAGCGAAAGGATAAAAAAGCCTTCTCTTATAGATTACTGATTGTCTATTAAAACGACTTGGTCTTACATTATGGGCTGATCGACCAGTAAAACAATATTCTGGTGGTAATAAACGTAAATTATCAACAGCTATTTCACTTATTGGTAATCCATCAATTATTTTTATGGATGTAAGTTTCATATTAAGAAACAATATTTTCTATAAAAGAAAAAATAAAATTAATCATCATTCTTAGGAACCAACAACTGGAATGGATGTACGTGCAAAAAGATTTCTATGGAATTGTATATTAACCTTAACACGTAAAGATCATAAATCAGTTATAATAACATCTCATTCAATGGAAGAATGTGAAACATTATGCAATCGTATGAATATTTAATTCCTTTGTGAAGATATTTGTTTTTTTTTTCTTTGTATAGGTCTTGTTATTATGGTTAGTGGAGAATTTAAATGTCTTGGTAGTGTACAACATTTAAAAACAAAGTAAATCTAAATGATTGGTTTTTTTCTTATGAAAAGCTTTTTTGTTTATTTTAATTTGAAGATTTGGTGATGGTTATACAATACTTGTTCGAACAGAAATAAATAGTGATACAAAGAGTGCAATTAATTATATAAAAGAACGGATACCTGAAGCTGATGTTAAAGAAGAACATAATAAAATGATACATTTTCGTGTATCAACAAGTGTTCCATTACATAAAATGTTTAGTGTTTTAGAACAAGCACGTGAAGATTTAAAAAGTATCATTGAAGATTATACAGTTACACAAGTAACACTTGATGATGTCTTTGTTAATTTTGCTAAAATACAAGAAGAAAATCAAGCATTAGAACAAAACAATAATACCAATATAAATGAAGATAATTGTTTAAAAAGAAATTTTCTTTATAAATTATTTTCTAGAAAAAATAAAAATATCATTGGTATGCTTTTTGTAATATAATATAATTTATTGAGATTTCTTATTATTTTTTTTTTTTTGTTGTAGAATTAACTAAACTTTAGTTTTCAACTCATAATGGTATGTATATAAGAATGATTTATTTATTTTCATGAGATCTAATTCAGTTCATATTTGGATTTTTGTTGGTTCTTGTCATACTTTGAAGAATTGCAGAAAAAGAACTTTCAAGAATATTTTAAAATTCTCTTTGAAGTGTTACTTTTTTACTCGAGGGTATATATATATAATCATCGAAACATTAACAGTAATAATATTTCTATGGTGAGCATTGACTCATTCCATTGTTTAATATTTTGTTTAATCAAATAAATGAATATATTCTATTTGTTTAGGCATATGATGTATTCATTCAATGTGAAGTATTCGAGCAAAGTTTTCTTTGTGTTTGTTTGTTTTTCCAAGTTGTTATCATAGCGATATAAAACTTCGGTGATCTTTTCTTTATGTATTTATTTTCGTGGCTATGTATCTGTGATATTTAAATATTTTCGTCTATTTTTTTTATCTACATAGTTGGCTCTTTTTGGTATTTAATTGGATGTTCCGGTGACAAGAAATATATTTTGTTCCATTCTATTAACTTTCTTTTATGTAGCTAAATTATTTTGTGTTATTTTTGTTAAAAATTCAAAAAAAAGGTTCTTTTTTTTTCTCGAGTTACAATTATCTCTTAATTATTCATGTGGCTTTTGTTTTCATATATTTTTTCTTGTTTAATTATAAAATGTTCTTGACAAAAGAAACAAAATTAAGTCAATCATTATTCTTTTTATTTGTTTTCGATTTGTTGGTAACCACACGCACATTTGAAGTGTTATTTTTACAATTAAAAATTTTACTCAATAGCTAATATGTTCGATAGTTATTGTTTTCGTGCCAAATCCCGTATGAATCGTTTTCGACCACTCAATGGACTCATGCAACAAAAACGACCTAATAAAAAAATATTAAAAAAAGAAAAGTAAAAATTATGATTAATTTAATATAAAAATATATTATACGTTGTACTGTCGGTTTCAATAATGATTCTAAATCATTTTCATTGAATGAAGAATGTTCTTAAAAAAAATAATATATTTTAATTTAAAAGCGAAGCTTTATGATATATTCCATTTTACCTGGGGTTGCCATATAGTTCGTTATCAATTGCTCAATTGCATCTTGTTGTAAATTTTCAAGTTGATTCTAAATATTAAAAACTAAACAATGAGAATATTTATTAATTTTTTGTTAAAAAGAAAAATGAGAACAAAAATCATAGATGTTTTATCGTCTTTTGTTTTCTTCGTTCAATTCAATTAGCCTTGATCAAGAAACAATGGAAGCGTCTTGCATATATATATAAAATTTATTTATCAAATTAATAGAACTTAATCGTTTTTCAACACGAGAGACAAGGCCGATGTCTGTTTTGTTTTCTAAGTTTCACAAGGCCGGAAACGATTACCCATTGAAGTATATAGCACGGTTATATATTCATGTTAAATCGTAATAAAAACTAAAGAAAATCATCTTTTCTTTTATATTAGTAGATCGAAAACAAAAACGAAAACCTTGTTTTCTTTTCTTAAAGATAATTTTTCCTAGAAATGAAAAAAATAATCATCTTATACCTGATATTGATCATCATGTACGATTGCAAATGAATTAATAAAAAGAAGCTTATTGCTGATAAGAATAAATAATAATAAATAGACTGATGCCATCGATGAATTGAAGTTTTTTCTTCCAATACCAAACATATTAACTGATATTGTATGCTTTATCAATGATAGTAATGCGAAAAGACAGGCGTGAAAATCGACTTCTCTCAAATGAGCTTACAGATGTGAGTATGACTCGGGTCAAAAAGTATTGACTGAATGGATGTTATGAACTGCTCTTTAAACAGCGGCAAAAGGAAAGAACATAACAAACGATAAATCTTCTATTGATTAGAAAATAGATAGCGAGAGAGGAAGTGAGAGTGGAATAAGAACAAAGAGAGAGTGAGTGTGTAAGAAAAAAAATAGGAAATAAGCAAAATCAACTTGTCGCTTTTTTTTTCTCAAGCCACAATAATTTTATCTAGACAGCTAATTTGATATCAATGGATCTTGTTTGGCAAAAAAAACTAGAAGAAACAAGAAACATGTATAACTTTTTTCTACATCAAAGTGCATGCGTAATATAATGTGAGAGCAACTCATCTGTTCGAGTACTTGTTTACCGAAAAAAATTATTATAAACGCATTTTCCGCTTTGAAAGTCCTTAAGTTATATCAAATTAATGAATTTCTTATTAATATACATCTTAAGTCTAGTTTTCGTAGTATGCTGACGTGTACTATACATTACAATGGAATATTTCGTATTGAATAAATTCTCAGATGAATGAATGATATAATTATTGATTATTCTATATTTTCATGTTCTTTTTAATAATCATCGTTTATATATGGTCAATCTTAAATTGAGGAACAAATCAAACTTCATTAAACTTTGCCTGTCTAAATGAAATAGAGAATATATGTCACTGAAATGAATAGATAAAGTATTGAATATCGTTTGTTTTCTTCGTTTAACAAATCGAGTCATTCCTATGATTGTCTATGAAAAGACTTATTGTTCTTGTTGTTTATATCAAGATCGGATCATCTAATTTTTTTCTTAAAAAAAATCAAAATACAAAAGAAATAAATTGGCAATCCAATGAATCAATTATCCTAGAATATGATTTACTAAATTGATATAAAAACTGTATAATCATAATAGTAATTATTATATTAAAGCATTAGAAAAAAAAATAGAATATATATAATGATGTTCTTTCTTTCTTTATTTTTATTTTTATTTTTATTTTTATAACAAAAAATTAATACCAACATTGAACATTTTCTTTTGGTACACATCGTTTTAGACTCAATGCAAATGATGAATCAGATGGACATTCATAACGACTTTTGCTTGAGCAATCTGTAAAGAAACGACACATTGAATCACTTACGAAAGATGATGGATCCCAACAATTAGTTGATGCTATTGGTGCTGCTGGAATTCGCACTAATAAAAAATAAAAATAAAAACACGACGAAATATAAAAAGATTAAAAACAAAATGAGTAATGCACTCTTACATTTTGTTGAACATTTTATTTGAACATCACTTAATTCTTTTTCTTTCATACATCTCTTTTTATCTTCAGAATAAATGAGTGGTGTAGGACATTTTCGTGATACAGTTATCTGCTTGCCACTAGGTGTTATCAGACATTCATAATAACTTTGACAATCATTTGAGACATTTGCATAGATTTGCTTTTCTTTTGCTAAATTAAAAAAAAATTTCTTTTTGATTATATGTTAAAAATCAACACTCTACAATTTTAAATATATTATTAATTGTAAATGAATAGCTTCATTCAGATGTTTTTATCTTTTAGCATAGAAGTGTAGATGTCTTCTTATTTGAAAATAAAATTTTGAAAACTGTTTATGAATTTGTTTTTTTTTTCAAAGATTATAATCCAGAAATAATTTAGCATGTTCGAAGCTTTCAAAAAATTGTTTTAGATATTGAAACTATGTTGTTTATATAAAATCAAGAATAATAGCAAATAGATATAGAATAGTATTCATTTTGTGATAAGTATTCTAGCATTATGATGATCCAAAAATTCATCAAGGAATGTTTCCACATGTTCGCATCCTTTTCAACTGATATTTTACCCATAAGTAGGCTTTGCTGAGCTATGAAAAATCTCCAAAAAGTGTACCCATGAGCGTCCCTTATCGAATTCTAAATTGTTCGATTTTTTCCCATAAACATGATAGTAATGGCAAATGCTTTTTGGTGACTATTTACAGGATTTTTGGTTTTCATCGCTCATATAACTTCGAAGAGTTCTCTTTCAAATGTCATATAATTGAGGGGTCTTTGTTATTAGATATTATTATTATTAAGCTTAACTCTCGAAATATTTAGCAGAGAATCTCTCACTGTGATTATTTTTTATGCGTAAAACTTTCCTAATTATAATTACTATTTCTCATTCTAAAGATGTTGAAAGCATCGCCCATGGGCCTGTAACATCACCAGATTCTGATCATTTGAGTTAGAAAAAAAAGACATCTTGGCATATACAGAAAAATTCTTTTGTTTTGCTTTTCTCGAAACCAATTTTTACACAACAAAAGTACAGAGTCGTCTCCGTTTCTTCGACTTCGTATGTTCGAGTGAACTGAAACTTTTTTATAGATATTGAATACTGTTTTGGTGCCGAAGCCCTTTTTGTTTTGAAACATATTGTCCCGTCAATTTTTGGTGGATTTTACACAAAAACATGTATTATTGAAGTCAAAAGCAGTGTTTTGCTCTTTGTTTTTAATCGAATAGAAGAAGATTAAAAAAAGTGAGGCACCCCAACCAGTGTCTAGTGTCTGTAGAAAAAAATCAAGCTATGTCGGATGTAGTTAGGTCTACTCAAAACTCAACTAGAAGCTCACATAAACATAAACCTTTTGGAGACTTTTGATGACTCATCAAAGCCTTTTTCTGAGCAAAATATCAGCTGCAACGGATGCGGAGATCTGAAAATATTCCTTCTGGAGAGAAAATTAGTAATGAACTTTGAATAACGAACAGTTTTAATTTATAGTATAAGAAAAATAGAACAATATCTTTAACGTATTTTTTTACATGAGGAACATGTTTATACTTACAATATAGACAATACACTGCTGCCGTATCTGTTTGATCAGGTTTTGGTGTAGTTGTATATGTAGTGTGTGTTGTCATTGCAGGTGTAGTGTATGTTGTCATTGTAGGTGTAGTACGCGTTATCGTGGGTTTTGTTGATGGCCCTTTTCCATTGACAATATCTTTCGCTGTATTAATTAATGGATACTTTCCTTCACCGCATTGTTCACCACGAAAATCATCTAAATCCATTGTCCAAAACATAGCTCCACCTAAATTCATTTCGTTGACATATTCAGCCTATTTAATCGAATAATAATAATAATATTATTGAAATTCAAAAAAAAAGGATGGAGTATGCAATAGGATTATAGACTATTCGAGCCGTTGAAGTCAACCAATCGATGCAGGCAAAACTGCACAGCATAGATTTTTCATTGCCAAATGAAAAACTCTATAGTTTATATTTACATGGCAGATCTGAAGACAGCGATAAGCAAACTTTTTTGAGCATCTTGGATTTACCTGGACTAATCTACTGATGCCTGAAGTATATTCAAAGCTTACTATACAAGTTGAAGTAGTAAAATAAATCTCCTTGAAGAGCTATTGAGAATCTTTTTTTTTTCGCTTATATTTTCTCCACTTTGACTGGACTTTTCCTTTATACGCCAAGCTAAGAAAGAAGTATTTTGAAGAAAGTTCAGAGCAGCCATTCCTCTGATTCACCATGTTTAATTTGTAAATCCGGTGGAATTTCTCTCATTGTCAAACAAAATATCTCAAAGAGATTAAATAATCTGCGCGCATCTGATTTTGGCTCTAATGTTTTAGAATATATATTTCTTGGAAGGCATAGTTATCATAAACTTGCTAATGTCGATGTTAGTCACTTCGTTTCAATGAAGTGGCCCTAAAAATTAAAAGCGCAATACCATTTACTATTCCTAGTCTGGTTAGAATTCCTTAGAGTCGTACCTTTCTCTCATAACAATAGTCTTCAGATATCAGCAAAACCCATAATTCTAGTTGTGACTCATCCTTCTAGTTCTTTCTATTCTATTTCCTTCACTGTGTTTTTCAGCACACGTTGTCTGTCTTTTCCCTTTCTTTCGATTTATCATTTTTTTTCCATGCAGGTTCTTATAAAAGTGTCTCAATAAAATATAGCTTAAGCCACAAGAGAGAAAAATCCGGTAGATATCTTACTTTAAGAGCAATACTTTCTGTATCATCATAACCAACCCAATTCGAACCAGAGTAGGCATATGGTACTTTATGTTGATTCGACCATTCTTTTTTCCATCCTAGAGAAAAAATTCGATACATTAACATATTCTCTTTCATTATCGAACAAACTAACCTTCCTTAAGTTTTTGACATACTTCATAATAACTCATAAAACCACTTTCTCCTGTGTATGCACCAGCCATGGCACCACCACCAAGAGTAGGAGAACCTAATTTAAACAAAATAAAAACAAACATGTAAATACAATGCTTATTTCTTTCTACCAATTGCTGTCGCTGAAGGATTAGCAAGTTGATGAGTTCGTCTGTAAGTAATGTATAAAAGAGCATTTTGTTTTAAAATAAAATAATCTTTAAGCCTATTTACCCATATGCACCCATGCCTAAATTTAACTTATCCGGTGTACAACCTGGTTTTTTTAACATGTGTTCAACAGTTTGTTTTTGACTTGTTAATGGACTATTATGTCCAGCAATAGTTTCCCATTGACCAGTATAATCATATGTCATCATATTAATAAAATCTAAATGTCTAAAATATGTTTCATATGCAAAATCAATTAAATATATAATTGATCAAATTTTTTACTTGCAAATTTCAGGTTCATAGCTACCATCATATCTCCAAGGTGTTGCTGGTGTTGCAGCTGATAATAAAAGACCCTCAGGTTTATATTTTTTACTTAATTGCTAATTGAAAAAAAAATCTACTTTTAGAAATTTTCACTATTTAATATATTATTTATTTTGTCACCTCAACTAATTGTGTAAATCGCTGTCGATCTTCAGGTGGACTACCACGATCAGCTGGATATTCCCAATCTATAAAACAAAACAGTTGAATTAATATTAAACTATAATTTTTATTTTTTTATTTACCAAGATCAAGACCATCAAACCCATATTGTTTAATAAGGTTATATGAATTTTCAACAAATTCTTGTCGTGATTGTTCTGTAGCAACCATTTGTGTAAATGGGCCTGATCCATGATTCCAACCACCGACTGCAAGCATGACTTTTAAGTCAGGATTTTTCTCTTTCAATGCAATGATTTGTTTATAATTTTCTATAAACAAAATAAAAAAAAGGACTCGAAGTTTTTCATATGAATATTTTGATTACAAACCAGGATCGCTTCCCTCAGTTGTTCCTAAACCATTTCCTCGAACACTTGCAAATGAATATATAATATGTGTACATAAATTAGGATCAATATCTTGAACAGAAAATCGTCCAGCACTTGGTCGATAACCCGACCAATTGGTATAGTAACACAGAACCCGTTTTCCATAACCTAAAGAACAATTCGATCAAAGTAAGAAAATCATTTTCATATAAAATACCTTCATTTACTGTCAGGAATAATAGTGCAGACAATAGGCTGAATAACATCAAAGAAATCTTTGATAATATATGTATGTATGTATTTTTTATTTTTACTTACAATAGATACTTCATCTCTATGGGTGACAATAATTTGTTTTCTGCACTGATCGGAGAATATAAATCAATAAGATGAAGAATCATGTGGTTTTTATCAGTATACTATCATCATTTGTAATATGATATTGGATTTAATTCTGTTTGATAACTTCAAGGTCAATCAATAATATCTATTCGATTTTTTCTTAGTGTTTTTTTTCAATAATAATAATTTAGTTTGATATATATACAGAGTATAAATCACACTATTGTGATACTCCTACAATTTTAAGCATGCATGTCTTGAATAAACGGACTCCTAGCATATTACTAGACATGCAAACTCATTTTCTTTCCATTATATTAAGTTACTAGAATAAATCCTATATTTTTGTTTTGATATACTCTAATGGAAAAGGATTTACGCCAAATTCATACTGAAAAGTAACCCTGGGACTCTGTATTAAAAAACGACGAAAATATTCGATTAAGGGTTCTATATGATTTACGACATTGATTCTTATTTTGTCGAGTTATCTTTAAGCAAACTTTTAAAAATAAATGGACTTTTTCATATGGTTTAGCACGTAAATTGATCGTAAACATTTAATAAACCTTATTTATGATTTGCGTATTTGCCACCAACATTTATAAAAAAAACAGCCACATACTAGTTCATATGTTGTTGAAAGCTATCTCGTGCCTCTCATCTATCTTTCTCTCTTTTTCAATCGCTTTGCTGGCATATGTCAGCAGTGATTCAAAAAGAGAGACAAATAGATTAAAAAAAAGACACCGCCTTGAGCAATATATGAGCTGGAATGTAGCCACATTTTATGGGCATTTATAACCACCAAGTGAATTTTAAAATAAGACCCAGTGATGAATTCATGTAAATCTTGAATTCTAAATTAATGTCTATGCAAAAAGACTTTTGCATGAGTTACAATTTGATATATGTATCTCAAATATAAGCAAAACTGGAGTATTACAAATGTTATCTTGTATATATTCAAATTTGATTTCATCATTGATACTTTTCTGAACGAATATTAAATTGAATTTTTTATTGAATAAATAAAACAACAACAAGTTATTTACAAATGGTAAAACTTCAATACATTTTATGTATATGAAGTGAAATTTCAATTATTTAATATTTAGAGAAGCATGATCATGCCGCTATTGATTAATGAGTGTTATATTTTTCTGAAATTAATGTCTATTCGGAAATTAAAGATACTCGATTAAAAATTGAATAACTCAAGAACGGTAAATCTTAGCGATTTGTCCTTTTCAGCATAGAAAGAGCACAGTGGGGGACACTAGTCTATATAAGATACAATGGGATTCAATAGTGATGAAGGTTAGAAAAATATGAACCTTTGAAAAAAATAGCTTGAACTCATAGTCCATAGAATCATTTTTTTCTTCTTTTAATAAAAAATAATAAAAAAGTATGAACCAGTTTTAATGATCGTTCAGAAAATTCTAATCTATAAATATTATATAATAATATTATCGATATGCTCGAATACGATATATTTCGCACTTTAGATTGTTTTTCAATCCATATTGACTCTTGTCATTCGCTTTAGGAGGATTGATAACCTGTATGTATATATTATTCAAGAGCAATTTCACATTATTAGAATATTTCAATGAAGGACTGCATAACTTCTTCATACTGGCCTTCAAACTTTCGACTATCAAATAATTGATAGCTGGATATTGTGTGCTATTGATAGGTGGCCGGTCATCATTATAATCCATATAAAAGAAAAGAATCATTCTATGGACTATGAGTTCAAGCTATTTTTTTTCAAAGGTTCATATTTTTCTAACCGTCATCACTACTGAATCTTATCGTATCATATATAGACTAGTGTCCCCTACCGTGCTCTTTCTATGCTGAAAAGGACAAATCGCTAAGACATACCATTCTTGAGTTATTCAATTTTTAATCGAGTATCTTTAATTCCGAATACATATTAGTTTTTGTTATCTTTGCGAAATTCAGTCAAAAGTGCAGATTAATTTTTTTTGGGTTCTTGATTATTTAAAAAAATGTAGACAATCACTTTAAAGAATTATGTCAATAATGTTATTTTTGTCTTAGCAAAGGTTGTTAATTAAGTGTTTAAAGCACATGACAACATTTAAAAAAAATGGGTTCACAAATTCAATCAAACGTCGGACATATTTGGTACGGTAACACGTTCGCCAGGTTTAAACGGTGGTAAACCACGTAATGGACAACCAGCACATCGAAAAGCATCGCCTAGATAACACTATATACAAAAATCAAAAAACATATTGTTTATGCTAATGTCATATTTTTGTTTCTTTTTTTCAATACATACACTTCCACATGATGATTTAACCGATTGTTTTGCTGCTGTATGTTCTTCTTGTTCAAGTTCTTGTGCTAAACCACATGTACAATTTTTACATGCTTTTCGAACACCAGTCGATGTTGTACCACAATCATATTCTAAATTCAAAGAAATTCTTGTTAACAGGAAAAAAGAAGTCAATTATTATCAGAAGAATCCAAATTGAAATGATAGCCCGAGGTCTAAACTTTCATAAACGACATGATATTTTTACTTGACACATCATTAATGATTTCCATCGCCTTCTACTTGCAAAATATTATTGCTTTGAAAGAGCATATGAGGCTGCTGAATCCATCTTTTGAATTAATCTTTTTTATTATATTATATTGGAAAAAAAGTACTTCTATTAATAGATGACTCTTGAAACAAGAATTTTTCAAGGCATTGAACATGTACATCCTTTTTCTTCGAAAGAAAAAGGTACTGAAGTCTAACATACTCTTTTAATTGAAAAAAGAAAATTAAATCTATATAATGACGAGTCATAGAAAACAAATGATCTGTTTTTGACTCTTGTTAGTTGAATATTTTCGTCAAACACTATGGTATAAGACTGAAAATTTTACCATAGTCTTCCTCGGCTACAATATCGACATATTGTGAATACTGCATTCGATTTGAATGTACCTGAATCAAGATCGATTTCTACAGAAGCAGATGTTCAAAAGTCCCTCCTCTTTCTGTATTGTACAATCAAATGTTTTTGATTTTTGGTGTTTCATTGCTAATATACCTTCGACAGGTCCTCAGATCAGTGTCATATAAATGATTCTCTGTAGGCAGAATTCTCTCAACAATTATTTCTCATTTCAAAAGTGCTAAGAACATAGGTCATGAATTTCTAACACGGCTACGCTTCGATCATTTTGGTTGAAGAAAAAAGTCCTGAGACATACAAGAAAATTTGTTTTTTCGATTTTCTGGAAATTAAACTTTGATACAAAAACAAGTGTAGAATCGCCTCTCATTTCTTCTACATTGAGCATTCGCTCGCCCTGAAACTTTTTTTTTTACAAATATTGGACACTATTCGAGCTGTCTGCCTTTTGTTTTATTTTGAAAAAATTTATAACGTTAATTTTTGAAGGCATGCTCAAGATTTCAATTTTTTTATTCGAATCGATGATACTTAAAACAATAGGCATCTTAAACAATGTTTACTACTTAACACAGAAATTCTAATTCTATGGGAAGTATTGCTGGCTGAAAAAGCGAGACGATTTTTAGCCTTTGCGATCTATGACAAGTTTTGACTTACTCAATGAGATCTATCTATTATGCAAGTTTCAAACATTTCTAAAAAGTTATTCTTCAGAAACTTTGAAAAGGTTGAAGGATCTTCTTAAGAGAAAAATAAATTTACTTTTAACATCAGGTTTTTTTCGATCATTTTCATCTAATAATTCATCTGTATCAATTAAATCATCATCTTCCATTGTCCATGTTTTTTTTCCACCAGCTGCTGTTGATGATGATGATGATGATGTTTGTCCCATACGACTATCAGTTGCATTTCGTAATGGTACTGAGTAACCAATGTCAAATGATGGTTTTTGACATAACCATAATGAACCAAGTTTTTTAACATCATCATTTTTATTTTCAATTAAAAACGATGAATTTGTATCTAATGGATTACAACTACTAAAACCACACATTTTAAATTGATCAATTGTTTGCGATTGTTTTGTATGTTCAACATGTGTTATAAGATAACCATTTGGACGAAGTAAACGAAATAATTCATTTAAAATATCAATCGTTATTCGTGTATCTCGTTTACTTACAAGACCAAAAAGTATTATATCAAATGCTGATGATGAACGATGAGCTATTATTGTTTATAGAAATAAAATTACATATTTAGTTTTTTTCTTTTTTTTACAAAAGATTTTTTTATTGAACTTACACTCAAAAAGCATATCCACGTTTTCAAAGGCAATACTAGCTTGTTTTGCTTTGGTTTGTATTGTTTCTTGAAAGACTGGTAAATTTTCTGGTTTAACATCAGGTGCCCAGATAACCAGAATATTTTTAGCATGAGCAAAGATTTCGTCCATTATTAATATTATTATTATTCAGTTTTTCTTTGATACAATAATCTAAAAATTAAAAAACAAAAATTTGTGAATACTCAATTCTACACTTGTAATTAAAAAACAAATTATTAAATAGTTCTCCTACTACAAACATAATTATTAAGAACGAATGAGTATGAAATGAGAGCTTATCTTTCAATTCTTAAACAATCAGATTTCTAACGATAATTAAACAATTAATAATTAAAAATGACTTTAGAATAAATTGAAATCGAATCTCAGATCGTTTTGCTGATCAGTTCTCTAAACCGATGACACATCAGGCTTATCAGACAGGGATAACTATAAATGTTTACATCATATCAGCATCGACCGGGATTCGAACTTTTTATCAATTCATTCATATCATTTAACCATTCAACTAAATCTTTCATATTAATATAAAATAAAAAATCAAATAAATAACATATGATATATTTATATATCTATATGTATATGTTTTTTCTTTTCTTTTCTTTATTTCAATGAGAAAAGAACGCATAAATTGAGTCTATATTAGAGAAGATGAAACACACAGACGTGTACAGTACAAACATAAAGACAAGAAAGAGCAATGGATGATGAAAGCAAGAAATAGGAAACAAGAGAAAAAGACAAATGTGTGCATATTGTTGAACCAAATAACAAAACGAAAAAAAGAGGAACGTCGTCATTAAAGACTAGACACAAAGACAAAGCAGGTGAAGGAGAAATGAAACGAAAAACAAACAAAAAAGAAAAAATAAGTCTTTTGCTCTTTCTGTTTTTATTCCTTCGATAATCAGCACCAATACAATCTATTCGGATTTGCTTGCTAACGGATTTTTGTTTTGTAGACGTAGTAGAATTTTCTGTGTGAGTTTTCTTTTTCGGTCACAAAAAAAACAGAGAAAAAAAAGGTAACGAATTATCTACTCATCTATATTTACACCCTCAGCCTCAACACATACATACATTTATATATTTATACATATATAAAGAAGAAAAAAAAAAAAAAAAAAAAGAAAAACGTTTATAAGAACAATGACAAAACTGAATATAAGAGACCAAAAAAAAAAAAAAAAAAAAAAAACGTAAAGAAATCGGCCGATGTTAATAAATCGACAAAATATTAAACACGCAAATTTTTTAAAGCATTTATGCGTGTGGATGTTTGTTTTTTTTTATAAAGAAAATAATAATCAGGAAAAAAAATATATGTATATATGTATATGTATCAAAAACAGAACATATTCTTTTATTGTTATGTAATAAATAAAGTATATGGTATGGGATACTATTCTCGTATCTTTTGTATATTAGAATTAATTTGAACCGTCATTCATCGTCAATTGAGCTGTTCGAGCCAAAGAATTTGTTGTTGTACGTTTTGGATATGAACGTAAATATTCATCATCAGCTAATTGATTTACATCAGGTCGGTCACGAACATTATATGTTAAACATCGTCTTATGAATGTCTACAGAAAAAAAAACAATAGAAAAAAAATTTTGAAATAATTAAATTTTGAATATTTACTTTAGCTCCGTCGGATACAATTGGTTTGGCTGGAAATTCAATATCTTTAGCTTTTAATATAGTTTGATTTTCAAGTATGGCGGCTTGAGATTGATTATGACCATAAGGTTTTCGTCCATATAAACATTGAAAAAAGATACAACCTAAACTCCATACATCAACTTTTGATGAGATTTTAGGCGGATTTGGTCCTTGAACAAATACTTCAGGTGGCAAATACCTATTTTATTTAAAAAAAAAAAGAAAAATGAATTAATTAAGAAGCAACTCATGAGAGAATCAAGACACTAATCAAAATTTCAACTTTTCAGTTCTTTTTCATTTGTATTCGAAAGATCATCATCTAACACCATCAATTCCAATTTTTTAGTGCATTTGAATATTCTATAGTCAACTTACGAGGGAACATCCCCAACTGTCTGACGCCGATTGAGCCCATATTTTGGCTATGAGTAGAACTCAACGAAACGAAGAAAATCCTAAAGGGTTCGGGTCCATGCTTTACCCAGCCAGAATTATGACCGTATTAGTGGATTTTCAACATCTAGGTCAGCTATTCATGATCAACTAAATTATGAGATTTTCATTTGAAATTTTGCCCATAGAAAGGTCTTACAGCCACTAGAATATTCTAAAAATTTCAGCTCAAATCAATGTATCTTTTTTGAGATATCGAGTATCTAAAACAACTCGATTCTATGACTGGCTTTGGGGTGTATAAGCGTTCTTTGGATATTCGATATCTTCAGAAGAATATATGGGTTTGAGCTGAAATTTTTAGAATATTCTACTGGCTGTAAGACATTTCTATGGGCAAAATTTCAAATGAAAATCTCGTAATTTAGTTGATTATGAATAGCTGGCCTAGATGTTGAAAACCCACTAAAACGGTCATAACTCTGGCTGGGTAAAGCATGGACCCGAACCCTTTTAGGATTTTCTTAGTTTCGTTGAGTCCTACTCATAGCCAAAATATGGGCTCAAACAGCATCCGACATTTAGAGATGTTCCCTCGTTAATCTAGATCGACTTTTTAACTACTGCCTAGCTACTACCTTGAAAATAATGATAAATTGTCTCATAAATATCTACTAGGATTATTTTTTCACAAATAGAATTATATAATCTAACATGAATACAAAAAGGTCATGATTTATGAGCTCACTACTGTCAACTTTTGTGAGTATATCTGCTAGCATTTTTCAAAGTCAAATTACTCCAAGATAAATATTATATACATTACATAACTTTTGATTCTCAACAAAAATGATAAAAAATTTACCTTCACAGTAAAATATCATCAACATTTTTTCTCCTAGATATCGATTTTTTAATAGAAAACAAAACTTTTTCGCAGTTTTTATTGCCGTGTTACAATTCTAAGACAAAATAAATGTAACATTTGCAATAAATCGTCAAAAACATTTTAATGAGTTTTTTTTCTATGAAAAAATCACCTGTACTTCCCCTACGGTTGTACATTATTTCAGTTTTGCTCCATAGTCTCGTAAGAGTAGTTTTCCACAGAAAAAAAGTTTCTCTAAAATGTTTTTGACGGTGATTCTTAATGTCACATTTATTTTGCCTTCCAATTATATCATGGTAATGAAAATCACGAAAAATGTTTTTTTTCTGTTGAAAAATTCATATGTAGGAGAGAAAGAAGTAAATCAAAATTTATTCTGAAGATAAACGTTTTTGTTTCAATATTTCTTTTTTATCATTTTGTAGGCAAACACAAGTTGAATAGTATATATAAAATTCAGTTTGGAATAGTTTGATTTTGAAAAATAACGATAGATATACTGGCAAACATTGATAGTTGTGAACACATAAATTATAGCCTTTTTTCATTCATGTTCGATTATATAACCTCAGTGAATAGATGGTATACATTATTTAAAATAGCTCATTGTGTTCGACTTTTCATGCTCTATATTCTAATTAGATATTAGGCAAACAATGGTAAAAAGTCTATCAAGACTAACGTTTTTATAGAATATTCAAATAAGCTAAAAACTTGGATTTGATGATATTAGATGATCACTTTTCATATGCACATGAAACTGCTAAAAATTAAAATTCCCGTCAGCACTTCGGTTCTCTTATCTCTTAATTTCTAAAGTAGAAAAATTTTTTTTTTTTTTTTTTACCAATAAGTTCCAGCTCCTTGCGATGTTAAATCCATTCCATGTTCAGGATCATATGTATCTTCACACATTTGTTTACTTAAACCAAAATCTGTTATTTTAATTTCACCACTACTTGTACCCGAACCCAAGAGAATATTTGCCGGTTTAAGATCAAAATGTATTACAGGTGGCTTGATACCATTATTTAAATAACGTAATGCACTAACAGTTTGCATGACAACAGAACGTGCTTCTTTTTCAGGTATAACTTTATGTTGTTTTAAGAAAAAGTCTATATCATTTCCTTCAATATATTCAAGAACAGTGCAGAATCTAGAATAAAAAAAAATATATAAAAAACAAATGAAATTTTTTTTTTTTTGTTTTGATTTCTTACGAATCTGTATCGATTTCAAATACATCATAAAGACGAACAATACGAGGATGATCAAGTGTCTTAAGAATGTCACATTCACGTAAAGCATGTCTTAAAAAATAAAAATGAAAATATACAATAAAATTATTAAAAAAAGAAAAAAAAAAAAACAAGAATATTTTTACTTGATATAATTTGCTTTCTTTTCTTCTTTCCATTCTTTATTAAGTTGATGAACTTTAACAGCAACATAACGTTGTTCTTTTAAACAGAAGGCCTTCAAAACAAAAAAATTAATATAATTATTTTCATATTAGGTTTGTTCTTGGTATTGATTTTACCTTATGCACTTCGCTAAATCCACCTTTACCAATCAGACTTAAAAGTAGATAACGATCATTAAGTACAGGATGATCTTGAAATCTAGATAAGAAAATTATAGATTATTAATATAAACATTCTATATAGTTTTCATGCAACATTTCAATGATTAGAATTATCTATACCTATTAATCGGGAAAGATTTGGTCTAATCAAAAGAAAATAAAAAAAAATTCTACAAGATATACTGCGTGAGACAAAATAATTATAACATTGAGTATTATTACTAATATCACAAATTTCTTAATGTTAAATTAATATACGCTATGAAATTCTCTACAAGTATGACAAATGAAAAATTCCATTTAATTTGTTTTAATGATTTTCTTATAAGACTAAAATTGAAGCATTGCATGACAATGAAATATTCCATTATTTAAAGAGAATTAGATATAAAAATAACCTCAAAAAAAAATCAGAATAGAGCAAGTGCAAACTTTATCAAGTACGAGTACGTACTTATGTTTGTTCAGTTATGAAAAAGGTCTTTTTTTTTTGTTTTGTTTCAAATGAAAGTTTGTATGACATACTTTAAAACACAAATTCAAGTTTATCAATCTGTTTAATGGAAAAT